CGGGTGGCGGCGGCGGCCCGGGCGGGCGGCGGCGGCGCTGGCGGCGGCGGGCGCGGGCAGCTGGGGCGGCTCGGGGCTGGGGCTAGGGTTCCTCCCCGGGGGGCTGGGCCGGCTTTTAAAGCCTGCCGGGCCAGAGTCCTATCCGGACACGGCCCGGTTAGGTCGGTTCCCCTTTTTTAAAAAAATATTCCGCTCGGAAGAAAAATAAAAAGAAATACTAAACGGACACCAAAAATCCCGAAATAAATTTTCTTGGGCTTATAAAATCAAGCCCGACAAAGTGAACATTTATTTGGGCCCTAAATGCAATTTTGAGAAACACACATTTTTCCTAAATTCAAATAAAACATCGAAAAACTCCGAAATAAAATCTTGTTTGATTTTATTATTAAATCCTCAATATTTCTTTATTTTGGAAAGTCATTTTATTCCCTCTCTCATATTTTTGTAATAGAAATAATTGATGATAAAATAAATAAAATCAAATGATCCTATTCTCAAAATTTGAGAAAACTCAAATATGAAAATAACGAAATCCCCAACTCTCTCCGTGGGTCATTGAGTTGCGTAGAATTTTCTAGGATCAACCAAAATGCAAAATAAAATATGATATGCAATGATGATCTAATGTATAACATTCCAAATTGAAAATTTGGGATGTTACAGTACCGCCCTACGTGACGTATGTTGTAATGAATGATTGTAATAACCTTTTTGTTTAATTAATTAATATAAAAAAATTAAAGGCAAAGAAGACTTGTGTGCTATAAAGCTCGATATGCACAAAGCTTATCATCGAGTTGAGTGGCCTTTTCTGAAGAAAATTATTGTGGACTAGGTTTCCGTGAAAATTAGACAGGGGATCGGAAGGAGGGTTTGGAGGAGGGAGACGGGGCGAGGGCGTGTGTGGTTATGTGTTGGGTGGGTTGGGCTTTGGACCGGAGAACCGGTACGATGGGGTTCGATCAAAAGGAAGAATCGTGGAGTTCTTCCATCGATGTGACCATAACATACGAACGGAAGTACTATGTACTATCGATTTGGGCACATAATGCTGCTTTCATAATTTGATTTGTCCCTATGCTGTACGATGGGTCATGATTTACATATTAGTTTTTTTAATTCATTATTTATTTTCTTAAAATCTGTTATTTGTTTTCTAACACAAATTGTTCTGATAGGAGGGATCAATTGATTTAGGTAAGTTGAGAAAGTTAGACCCGTGATCTTTTGTAAAGTAGAACAGTGTTGGTTTGTAAGAAAAGAGTCAAGAGGTGAACAGATGGATAAGGAAACCAGCGTGGAGGGGTGGTGGTGGTGATCGTGAAACTCTCCTTTTAGGAGTAGAAACTACTAGTGATCCCATATAAATGATCACACATAAAGGAGCAGGGTAAACTTCAATAGGAGAAGCATCTCATAAATGGAAATATTGTATAGCGCACGACCGTAATCTCCTGTCCAACACCACAAGAGCGGGCCAAAGCCAAAAATAGCACAGTAGCAATGTGAAGTACTAGTCTACTACTGCTAGTGATGGAACCACACGGGCGGGCTCAAGTCAGAGGTCTTGTCGAAGGGTGCCCCCCTGTAGGCTCCGCCGAACAAACGCGTGCGCGTTAGGAAGCATCCCATGTCGTCACGGCTGAAGAGGATAGTGCCAGTGCCCTCCGAGTCAACAGTCCTCCCGACGTCGTCTAGAAAGTGAATCTCATGCTTCGTATCCGTCAGGTACGACCGGGACGAACCCATCCCCCCAGCAGGTGACATGTAGTTGAGCCACTCAGCCTCGCCTGTATCGTGGTTGACTCCCAGCCTATACAAAGTGATCGTGCCTGTCCTGTTTAGACGGCTAATCTTGATGAGCATCAGCAGATCCCCTGTCGTCGACTCTACGAGCCGCCTGTCCAGAGAATACTGAGGCCGTTTCTCAACCAAGTCACCCATTACTCTACCAGCACTTCTAACCACATTGCACATCTGGATCCCTCGAGAACCGTTAGCATGCCGAATCACCTTGATTAGGCCTTCATCTCGCGTCAGCAGAAGGAACACACCGCGGTGATAGCAGATATCCACAATGCTCGCTTCCGGTGTCTTGCTGATCTCTAGCCAATGCTCTTGTTGCGGGCTCCACATGGCAATGATATGCTCACCACTTGGTCCCTGGTTGAGCACTGTGGCGACCTCGTATCCGGGGCATGACGGAGACCTGGACAGAGCGCACATCAAGAGCGACGTCTCACCTCTTATTGTCCCCTCCATGTTTATGACACTGCTGGGAAGAGTAACCCGCTTGCCCGACTTCAGATTGTACAGCAGATGATCTTGTCCCGATGCTTCGCCGTCCAAGAATAGCCAGCCTCCGGGGTAAGATACGCACGGGCGGGCTGCCCTGATGCCCTCTGGAAGAGCTCCAAGTGGGTGAAGGCATGCTTTCGTTGGATTGAAGAAGCACGGGCTCGCCGAAGATGGTAGAAAGAGCCAAGGCAGATTGGCCAGGTCAGCCATCTCCTCCACGCCAATTATGCTATTGCGCCAGTGCCTGTTGAGCAAGGAGGCGCACACGCGATCAACATCACACAAGGTGCCATTTCTGATGATCTTCTGGATAATATCCACTGGCAGATCTGCGCATTGCGTCGGGCTGGTAGACACAGGCCCGGCTCCCAGAGAACCCTGTGAGAAAGAGAACCATTGCCTCGTGAGAACCATTAAGAGATGTGTTCATACACAAGGATTGATCTCGTAACTAATTGAACGAAGGAAAACCCTATTTGATACTTCAACCCTTCACATACGGTCAACTGGGAAATCCAATATCCCATCTAAGAGGCAATAGCAAGCGACGACCCACAAATCGATAGAAATCCAACAGCAACATCAGGACGTCTACTCACAGTCACAGAGATGATGCCGCCGCGCTCCGCGATGCCGTGCTCGCCACTGGCATCCATCGTCGACTCGGAGCGATGTATCTGGTGATATCTCTCTACTAACTCTCCATCGACATCCGGGTACCGCAGCTCCATGTGGACTGAATTAGCAGAAAAAGTTAGACATGATGTGTCATATCTACTGCAACAAGTTCATAAGAGGATCAACAGGATATATAGTTGATGTACAAAAAGCTCAAAGCAATGCAATGCGCAGAAAAGATAGCTTGCTTTCATGTAGTACAGCTGTGGAATACATACAACCTGAATATTGTCCATGTGTTCTTCGAAACAATTACAGTAGGCTAAAAAAATTACAGTAGATTGAATTTATTTAGGTTTTGAAGTTCCAAAGTTTTCCATTAGCGCCATTTTGTACTAATTGAAGAACTGAATCATCTGAATCAAAGCACATTAGCATCAAACCCAGCAGTTTCTATGCTTACTTATTGTCAAGTCGTAAGTCCTAACTGTAGCAGATTAACTGCAGTTTCAGTACACACTTTTTCAGACCAACAATTTCAGTACACAGTTTTTCAGACTAACAAGTTCAGCGAGACAGGCACATTCTAGTGTGGATTTTAATTGGATAAATCATATATCGAATCAAAGCACCTTAGCATCAAAACCAACAGTTTCCATACTTTTACTTAGTTATTACTCCGTCCATTTACAATTGTAAGATGTTCTATTTTTTCTAGTTCGGATGTATGTAGACAACTTTAGTGTGTTTATATTGAAATATCCGAAACATCTTATAATAGTGAACGGAGGAAGTATATCTAATACAAACAATTGTCAAGTTCTAACTGAAGCAGATTAGCTGCAGTTTCGCTAAACTGTTTTTCAGGCTAACAATTTTAGTACACTGTTTTTCATGTAGTACAGCTGTGGGATACAACCTGAATTTTGTCCCTGTCTTATTCAAAACAATTACAGTAGGCTAAAAAATTTCAGTAGAAATTATCTTCTCTATGAAGCAGACTGAATTTATTTAGGTTTTTAGGTTCCAAAGTTTTCCATTAGCGCATATATTGTATTAAATTGAAGAACCGAATCATCTGAATGAAAGCACGTTAGCATCAAATTAAAGCCGTCAGTTTGCATGCTTACTTATTGTCAAGTCAAAGTCCTAACTGAAGCAGATTAGCTGCAGTTTCAGTGAAGTGTTTTCAGAACAACAATTTCAGTACACAGTTTTTCAGACTAAGTGACTAACAACTTCAGCGAGACAGGCACAGTGCAGTGCGAATTTCAATTGGCTAAATCATATATAGAAATCAGTATCTTCTCTATGAACCTGAAACTGAGATGACTGGACTGATTTTGCACATTTGATTCATGAATTTATTCTTCTTCGACAACCAACTAAACTTCGGATCACCTTCTAAGCATCTGTGCATACTACATAGGCTGATTAATCCAACAGCCACAATGCAAATATCAACTATTTCCATTCAACTTCTTCACTTGCTCATTATTATCTAATGAAACCATTCTCAAGTCACAAGTCCTAACTGAAGCAGATCAACTGCAGTTCAGTAAACTGTTTTTCAGACTAACAATTTTAGTACAATGTTTTTCAGACTAACAGCTTCAGCGAGACAGGCACAATCTAATGTGAATTTCGATTGGCTAAATCATATAGAAATCAGTATCTTCTCTATGATACTGAAATTGGCATGACTGAACTAATTTGGCACATTTGATTTACGAATTAATTCTTCTTCGACAACCAGCTAAACTTGGGACAACCTTCTAAGCATCTGTACATAGGTTGATTAATCCAACAGCCAGAATGCAAATACCGGTTATTTCCATTCAACCAGTTTTACTTACTCATTATCATTATCTAATGAAGCAGATTAGCAGCAGTTTTCCAACACAAGCAGACAGTACCGAACCGACCAGTCAAAATTATTTCCAAAGGAAGTTGAAGGAATGGAGAGGGCCTCTCACCTGGCGTCCCGGCCGCGAAGACGACGATGTGGAGGTCCTGGCCGCTGTGGGGCAGGTCGACGACGAGTGGGGTAAGCCGCCCGTGAGTACCCGCTTGGACGCACATGGCGAGGTTGGAGACGTCCATGACGTCACGCAGCCGGCGGGCCAGCTTGTTCCTCAGGCGGGACACCGATCTCCCATGGAACATGAACGCGGCGCGGCGGATGCCGGCCCCTTTGGTGCTCGTCCGCACGTACATGATCACCCGGGGCGGCAACATGGCGGCGAGTCCTCCGGGTAAGGGAAGCTGCAGTTGAGTCGCAAAGAACCAGGGGTCATGATGCCGCGAGATCAAATGCGATCAAGATTCAAGAATTGAAATCAACACGATCTATGACCATCCGAGACTGAATTCGGACGCAAACTAACGCCAACCAAGAACCCAATTCGCTCAAATAAGGTTCCGCTGAGAGTAATCTGGAAGAATCAAGAAGCGGGCATGGCGAAGGCGGACTCACCCCGGTCGGACGTGGAAGAGGAGGCATGCCCTCCCTGGCAGAGATGTGCTCGACCACCCAGAGCATCCTCGTTCTGGCGTTGTCGATGTCGTCGACGCTGACGCCGTTGTTCCAGGGGAGATACCTCCCGGGCCCGTTGGCGCGGAGGCAGCGGCCGGTGACGTGGCGGAGCAGGACGTCGTCCCCGGACCCGAACCTGACGGCCTCCCACCTGATGGCCTCCTCCGCCCCCTCGTCGTAGTTGCGCTGCTCGACGCGGAGCCCGCGTTGGCCGCGCGGCGCCGGCGCGTCCGTGGCGGCGAGGTAGCTGCCGTAGGCGGCGCTGTGGAGGAGCACGTACTGAGCATCGGCAGCGCCGCCTTGGTAGATGTGCACCGCCCAAGCCGCCTTCATTGACGAGCGGCGCCCGTGGAGGGAGACGCCATGCCCGTCCCCGTCGGCGTGCAGGTACGTGCCGTGCACGCGGCTCCGCAGCCGCACGTGGTGGCCGTCCAGGAACTGGTCCATCGGTTGCCGGAGTTGGACCTCTGGAGAGCAGAGGCAGGGGGATCTTCGCGGTGTAGAGGGGGAGAGTGAAGGATGGGTCCTTGGTTTCTTGGAGCTCCGGCGAGGGGGAAAGGGGAGAAGCGAAAGCTGTTGGTTGCGACGGTTACGTTCGGGCGCCAAAGGCAGAGGCAGAGTATTTCAAGGAGGCTGACGCCGTCGCCGGCACTAGGTGGGCTTGCGGGCCAGGGCCGAGGAAATACATCCCGTGGCCCGCCCAAGTTAAATTACTTGTTCTTCGGGAGCCTGACAACGATCACTTACGGGAGGCTGAGAGCGCGTTAAATGGCACGCTCTCAGTAGCCATCACGTGTCGCGCTTTG